TTCATTTCTATTGTCTTCAACTACTGTGCCACCTGCTTTATTTTTCTCAATTTTTTCCTCATCCTTTTTTTTTATTATTTATTTTGAGAGAGAGAAGGAGAAAAAGAGAGAGAGAGAGAGAGAGAGAGAGAGAGAGAGAGAGAGAAAATGAGCGGGGGAGGGACAGAGAGACAGGGAGAGAGAGAATCCCAAGCAGGAAAGCAGGATCCATGCTGTCAGCACAGAGCCCGACTCGGGGTTAGAACTCACAAACTGCGAGTCCTTATCCAGGGCCCAAATCAAGAGTCAGATGCTTAACTGACTCAGCAACCCAGGCGCCCCTTTCCTCATTTTTATAAGGAGAGACTGACTGACCATTCTTGCAGAAGGTCTCCATTCCCAATTAAATCACCTTTTTCAATCTGGTGCTAGCTGGTCACCTGGCCATCCAGGGCCCTGATAATTTAAGCCAATTTCACCCACACCAAATTGTCTCTCAAATCTTAGTTTCCACAAACTGAAATGCCCTTTCTTTGATGCCTCATCCTTATGCCTGTCCAGCTTTCTGTCTGCCTGAGATTTCCCTCCTCTAAGAGCCCTACCAAAGAAAGATATGGCTCATGTTGCCCACAAATTGGGAAGCCAGAGCTATTTTTTCTTTTATCTCTATAACCCATGGGCAAAAGGAGAGCACCAGAAGGTGTCAGGGCTAATCCGAAGAGAATCTCAATTCCAACCAGAGGAGTGGATATAGATGAGCATAAAGTATGGCCAGAGAGTTCTTGGTCCAAGTTTGTGACTATTTTGACCCAATTCTTTGCATTACCATATAGGAGATAATAAATAACCAGTTCCAAACCCAACTGTATTTGTGGCAACCCTATTTCCATCATAAGGAAATCCAAACTGCCAGATGTGAGCAACAGGGATTTGCAAAACTTCAGTCTAGTTTAGTCTTCCATCATTAATGAGACTCAGCTACCCTCCACTCTCTCCTTGTGACCTCACTAGCTGGCTTTCTCTCTCACTCTCTACCAGTGGTTGGAAGAGGAAAGCAAAATACAGGTCTGGGGGAAGAGACTAGGGGATGGTGAGTTGAAGAATGACCCCAAGTCCAGGAGAGATATAGAATTAAACTCCCTCAGGGAGGTTGCAATAGTTATTATGTCTGCAACAGATGAGCTCTCTTCTTTTCTCAAAACTCAAGAAGTTGATGTCCTCACAGTTGGTCATACATGACAGTTTGGAATAATAATACATACTTCTCCCTGAAGAGATGAAAGAGAGAGAACACAATTGTAATGACTCCATTTCCTTCTATCATATTCCCAGGAGTATTTTCTCTACAGAGCCTCACTAACCTTTCGCTAAGCCCCAATCAGCTATAAGGCTGAATCTACCAATGACTGACCCAGAAAATGGATTGTATTTCCCTAACTGATAGGAGACATCAACTTCTCTTTTACCCAATTTTGTCTTAAGGAAAAGTCTTTGCCATCCCCTCTAAATGACCACTCACCCGTGCACAGGTGGCTATTTCTCAGACACTCTCTACTCCACATTACCTTTTCTCGTAAGGAAGTAAAGGTTCTCAATAGCACAGGACTGTTGGTGCTTTAGGATGCAGATCTTCATGGTGTCATAGCATAACCCAAGATGATATTTTTTACATTTATAACATGCCGTTGCAGAGTCTGCGAGACAGAGAAAGAGGTAATTAAAAGATGTAGTCTGGAGAAGATTCTCCAGGCCTGTGAGTTTCTCTACGGGAACTTACTATTGTCTAGTGGTTCCTGATCTTTCTCTGGCATTTGACTCCTTTGATATTCTTGTGAATCAATTGTTGTATATGATCAAGATATCAGAGTTCCTATAAAATTTATCTATGGACGCAAGTAATGAACAAGTTATTTAACCTGATGATTTTGTCCAGTAATGGGGAAAGGAAAGCAAAGAAGGAGATTTCAGCTTCCTTACTCCAAGAAATGGACTAACTTGGTCTGGGAGAAGATAGAGCTCCTCGGATTGTAGAGTAAGAATGGGTTACAGCCCTCTCTGAAGACTGAGAGGAGGTTCGTTCCTAAACACATCATAAATGATCTGTTTACCAGAGATTGTGGACGAGCCATAATTGTACCTGTCAGATGGTCCTTAAATTCACCTTGGGAAAAAAAAAAAAGAAAAAGAAAAATCTTCTTTGTCATAATCTCATATACATCTGCCAACACCCAAAGAGCCAGTTGTGGAAATTTCCCCTTCCTCAGCATCTGCCCATCTCTTAATCAACAATCAGCTCTCCCCATGTCTCCATGACTTACCCTTATTTGAGCAGACCAGAAAGACAATGCACAGCAGAAACACAACAAACATCCTGAGACTTTTATCATGTACAGCTTTCTGTGAAAGGTGCTGGTTGATCTCCAGTCATCTGTCCTTGCGCTACTCATCCAAATCATATAATCATAAAATTTCAGGGACATACAGCACCTCAGTGTTCCCAGAACAAAGCCACCAACTGAAGTTTCACTACCCCTACGGCAACTATTTCAAAATTCTCCTCAATGATGAGATCAACGGTACATATTATATATGATCTATAATATAATATGGAATTATATAGACTATATTATATAACATAAATTTTATATTATACATTATTATATTTATAATCTATTATTATATATTTTAATATATATTATATGTATTTTATATATTATATAATGTATATCTACAATATATATTATAATCTATAATACAAGATATACTATACTATAATATATAATATACATGTATATAATTTCTATTCATTGTTGCATACCTAAGCCTTGTGCTTTGCAAGTAGAGTCAAATTTCTCTCCTACATTTTAACATTTCAGGTATTTCAAGACAGGATTTGGACACCTGGCTCTTTGTATCTCTCTTCACTAACCTGGTTACTCTCCTCAGAATAGTCTCAGATTTGTCTTTGTCTCATGTAGACCAAGGCAGACTCCAGGTATAGTCTGTATGTGTGGGGGGTATTGGAGTACTGCTTTTGTGGTGGAGGAAAAGGAGCTTCAGGAAGAAGGTGAGCAAAAATAAAATTTGTCTAGTTTGCCTTCAGGTGTTATTAACTGATTGATTGGTATTCTAATTAAATAATTTCTAAGCATATGCCACATGCCAGTATCACAGGAAGAAAAGATGCTTATGCAACCAGGACGTCAATCAATGGCCTCACTAGAGACATCAAAAAGGACATCGAGCGCAGTTGGCTATGGACATCTAGATGAAAGTCCTTCAAATCTGACTGCCTGACCGGGGAAGGCTCCCATGAAGAAGGGGGTGCTGAACAGGACTTGGAGGGCTAGCAGTGTGTGAGCTGGAAAAAGTGAGTAGGGACAGGCACCCAAAGGAACAGCAAATGTCAGAGTACAGAGATGTCAAACAGCCTGTCACAGCGTGAAGAGAGCAGGTCATGTGGCTGCAGAGACATGAGTGTGCCAGAAACTCAAGCACAGAGAGACACAGTCTGCTGGAGATGATGGCATACGGGTGAAGGGAGGGGCCCAAGGGGACATTGCACGGGTCTTGCGGCTGACACCACTTGGTCCCAAGCTTGCAGGATGGAATTTCTTGCTTGTTACTGTGCACTTGCAAGATGTCAGTGAAAAGAGCCATTTTCCCCGGAGTTAGGAAAGATATGAAAGCATACACTCCTCTTCAGCACCAATATTGAATTGTGGAAAGGACACATCCTTTAATCCCAGACTCAAGTTTGCCACTATATGGGCTCAAATCCTGACATTGCTGTTTGCCAGCTATGTAATTTTTGGGTGAGTTACTGATGTTGAGAATAATTTTCATATCTCACACGATCAGTATTAGGATTATATTACAGTTTGTGAAGAAAGGGAAGCTCATATTTGTTGAGACCCTGGAAACTATCAAGCACTAACTCCCTGTGTGGTGCTTACAATTTCAGACAAGCAGCCTTGACCCTTTTGCTAGGGTAGGCATCAGAAATTTCCATCATAAGGAGTCATACACAAGAAAGGGCATCTGGCTAGGAAAGACAAGAAGGTAGTGGCTATAGCTGTGGTCTTAGCATTCAAGGGCAAGAGGCCGGCTGTGAGGACGGTATCAGGAGTGTTTTGTCAAGGGTTAACTTTCAATAAGGCTTACATTTGGCTTTGGGTGTTCAAAAAGATGGGAAGTTAATAACAATCTCTTCTAGAATGGACTTTGAAGACAGAAAGTCAGATTCAGAACAAGCTGTCTGAGTTGGCTTGAATAAGTGAGCAGCTGGGAACAAGTTGAGTTCTTATTCACTGAGATTGGGTGAGAACTGGATCCATCCTTAAAGCTTAAGGTAGGCTCCATATGCTTATGACAAGCCATTTTATATCTCTACCTCAGACCCCTAGATTCACGTCTTCCAGATTCACGTCTACAAATAACCATTGAATTTTAGGTGGCTCACAAAGTATCAATCTCAGGCTGTCTCAAAATGAAATCATAATCTTTCTGATTCACTAAACCTGCTCCTACTGCAGTGTTTAGGGTCTCAATAAACCCAGGAATCATTCTTTATAGATACCTGTGCCCTGTCCTCAAAGAGAATCAAATAGCAAGTCTTATCCATTCTACCTACTAACTTCTCCCTCACATGGGTTTATTTTTCTCTATCCACTGCCACTACCATAACCTTCAGCTTCATCTCCTGCCTGGTCTAAGCAATAACCTTATTTTTTGGCTTGCCTGCTTATAATCTTTCCCTATTATAGTCTGTTCTCTATAAAGTGGTCAGAGAGCCCTTTTATAGGCCATCGATGCCGCACTCCTGCTCAAAACCGTCCAATGACTTTTCATCACGCTTTGAAGAAAATCCAAAGGTCCTCCCATAGCAAGTCTTCCCCAGGCTGAGCAAAGGCCATTCTCCCATTTCATTTCCTATCACATTCCCCTTGCTCATTCAAATGTCACCCTCTCAGGGCAGCATTTCCTGGTTGACATTAGGAAATGTCAACATCCCTTCTCCAACCTTTTCCCTGCTTCTCTTTTTAATAGCAATTCTCACTACCTTACCTTACATATCTATTTGGTCACTTTGATTCTTCCACTAGCACAAAGCCAAGACTTTGTTTTATTTACCACTGGATACCCAGCATCTGGAGGCTCGGAATATAGGAAACACCCCCCAAATATCTGTGGAACAAACAAATAATGATCTTCCCACATCCGCTCTTGAGTCCTTCCAGCCCATTATTACATAGGAACCAGGTTGATCAGATTCATTTTTGTTTTTTAAGTATAATAAGGATGTGAAAATGAGGCTCTTTCTATATTCCAGCTAGGATCCCAAAATAGTAGGTGGCAAGTATTTTTACATTTCAAAGTGAAATGTTGTGCTAGTTATGCAGATTAACAAAGAAAATCAATGAAAACCAGTTTCAGTATCTAGGACCCTTTGACCACCTAGATGGTTTAAAGAAATAAACATTAATGTGTCAAAATAACAAATAAATAGCAGGGGAGTTTTTATAGTCTTGGAGGGGGAGATGTCTTTCAATATATGGCTAAAAATATACAACCATAAAAAATTTTATATGTTTGGCTACACTTTAAAAAATCTTCTGAAGCAGGAGGTGGGGTTAGGAACCAACCACTAACTCATAAGCAAAGTCTGAATAACAAATAAACAACCAGTTACAAAATATTTGCAACTCATAATGCAGACTGAGGACTGCATCTTCCTATTTTACAAAGAAATCCTAAAAATTGATTAGAAAGCTATTAAGAATTCAAGAAGAAAGGTAGATAGTTAAGAACAGCATTAGTTCACAGAAAAAGGAATTTAAATGGTCTTACGCATATAAAATGTGCTGAGCTTTCCTCATAATTTGAGAAATGTGAGCTGAAGCTAAACTCAGATACGATTTGACTTTATGGGTAGATCTAGGCAATCATCAGAATCTAATCACACCCCTAAATTGGTGAGGTTGGAAAGCAGCACTACTCATCACTCATACATCACTACTAGAGGGTAAGTTAATACATCAGTCGGGGGTGGGGGGGTGGGGCGGGATTTGATAATGGCTATCAAAATTATAAAGATCTAGGGATCTTACCCAAGTCATTTTGTGGAATTAGCCTTGCACATCTGTGAAAAGGTGAATACACACGGTTATTTATGGCTTGATAACTGCAAGATTGAAAACAATTTATACTGATCTCATTTATATGCAAAATCTTTAAAAAAAAAAAAGTCAAACTCATAGAAACAGAAAGTAGAACGGTGGTTACCAGGGGCTTGGGGTGGCAGAATGGGGAGGCTGATCCAAGGGTACATGCTTTCAGGTAGGAGATGAAGATGTTCTGGGGATCTAGTAATGTACAGCATGGTGACTATAGTTAACAGTGCTGTACTGTGTACTTGAGAGTTACTAAGAGAGTAGATCATAAGCACTCTCGCCACACAGGCACATGCACATGCGCACACACACAAATACAACGGTAATTATGTCGCGTGATGGATGTGTAATTAACCTGATTATGGTGATCATTTCACAATGTATGAATATCAAATTATCACATTGTACATTTTAAATATATATACTTTTGTTTGATATATATAACAAACAATAAAGCTGGGGGAAGAAAGAAGAGAAAGTTTATGGACCAGTTGGGAATAGCTACATAAATTGTGATATATCCACACAATAGAATATTATGCAGGCAGAAAAAAAAAAGAATGAAGAAGTTTTTTGAAGTGAATTTAGTAACACATCAAATATACCTTGTAGGCTAAGTGAGTCACATCCTATTCAGCTGAAACTGAATTTATACATCTTAAAATATCTAGGACATGAGGATAAGGCTGAAATTTTACCAAAAAGTAATTAGGAGGCTATTACATAAAAATATTGATTTGAAAAGCTTACTATTATAGCTCAAGTATAGTACTTTCTCAACACCATCAGCTTGTAGATGGCTCCTCTGGCCACTATTCTGTACGTTCGCAATACTAAATACAAGTCCATTTTAAACTGAATTTAGTAAAGGAATAAAAAAACTTTAAGCCAGCTCTGCCAGTCATAGATACTGATGAATGACATATTACTATCTGGATTTGGACTACTTCTTTCCCGCTAATAATAATTAAGTTAAAGACAGTGATCTCCTCTTCAACTCCTGGTCCACGGTGATGATGCAATCTCATTGAAGTCATCCCATATACTGAAACTCTGCATACCTTGCTTCATCATCTGCATTAGGAAATAGAACTTTGGGGAGGCTGGGTGGCTCAGTTGGTTAAGCATCCGACTTTGGTTCAGGTCGGATCCCTTTTGCATTCCGTTTAAAATATATAACAGTGCATATTTTAACAA